TTAATTCTATATAATTATGGTTGTATATGCAGGCAACCATATACATTTTTAGATCTGTATTTTTATAGGTTCAAAGATAAATACTCGCTAGATTTTGTTGGGCTTCTTTTATGCTTTAGAATACACACATATACATATATGTATGTACTCATGTGATCTCTTCGGTTCTTGGATTATAAAAGTTTTGTGGAACAAGGAAGAAGAGTCAGTTGTAGAGCAGAAATATGAATTTGGGTAAATTTAGGAACTTTACTAGCATGAAGGCACTTGGCTCATACTTTAACTTATCCTAGTTCACGTAATCTTTCCAATACAGGCGGAGAGAAAGGTAAAGAGAAGAGAGTAGTAACTTCTTTAGCGCCTCTAACTCTTCACTATGGTCCTTTCTCTGTTCCATGGACATTGTCAGGCAACAAAGGCTACTAGAAAAAAATGTTGCTTAATCTCATCCATAGTTTCCCTTAAACTGAATGAAAGTGAATGAAAATGGTTTCAAAAAATAGGAATTAATTTATTTAACTTGACTATTCACATTATTGTAAATCAGATATCACACAAAACAAATCCGCAAACTTTAAAGTAGCCAATTAATCTTAGTTATATTATTTCATCAGACTATCAAAATTTAGTCAGGAGCAAAGTTAGGAAATTGTATACAATTCTTCCTGCCTACCTCAAGGGAAAATACCTTAAGACAGGAAGCAGGAAGGAAGAGGATGCAGACGGGAGTAGGGTAGCCTCAAAATTAATTGCTGTCTCTGAATAATAGCAGTGGCCAGATGTCAAGTAGGAATCAACCCAAGGGAAAAAAATTTAAATAGAAAAATTCTTTAAAAATGTATTTTCTATTTCTGAGGAAAATATAATTTTAGGAAATAGTATTATATTTCAAGGAATAGTGAATTTAAAGGATTTTGGATTATCTTACTATTGACAGTGTTAATAATATGATATTTCTTTCTTAGAAAATCAGCTTTATCCAGAAATTTTTAAATGACTTGACTTCTTTTTAGGATTCAGGTGTTCACTTATGTGTTATTGATGACTCCAATGAGCATATGCTTACTGTATGGGACTGGCAGAAAAAATCAAAAGGAGCAGAAATAAAGGTAAATCAGAGATTTTAATTGAGTATTATCTTTTAGAATACATTATTTGTTTTGCAGGTACTTGAAACTATATTGCATATCCTTAAGTTGCAAGAGCAAATCTACTGGCCAAATTCATGAGATGTATTGATTTATCTTATGGAATTAACACTACAGTTATATAAGATAAAAAACAGTCAAGCAGCTTGAAGCAATGTCAGTATTTCGGACAACATTCTGGTGCTGAAATGCCCAAATAGATGGCTAATTTCAAAATTAAGGTTGGGCACGCTTCTTGGCCGTTGATTGTTTATTTAAATGTGTTATTTTATTCAATCTTTAAAGCTATAGAAATCTAGAAGAAAAATTCAAGCATAGCTGGCTCAGCACCTGTGGCTCAGCAGCTAGGGCTCCAGCCACATTAACCAGAGCTGGTGGGTTCGAACCCAGCCAGGGCCTGCCAAACAACAATGATAACTACAACCAAAAACAGCTGGGTGTTGTGGCAGGTGCCTGTGGTCCCAGCTACTTGGGAGGCTGAGGCAAGATAAATCGCTTAAGCCTAAGAGTTGGAGGTTGCTGTGAGCTGTGATGCCGTAGCACTCTACAGAGGGTGACATAGCGAGACTCTGGCTCAAAAAAAAAAAAATTCAACCGTAGGAATATGGCTGATATAAGTGAAGGGCTTGTATAGTAAGTTTTTGGTCTTAATTAGGCTTGTAAGATTATTATAGAAAGTGCTATAGCATTTACAATTGCTGTAGAATAGCGTTGATCCCTTTGCATGGATGAGGATATAAATTGCAGGAAGTGTGTATAATTAGCATTGCAGCTGTATTTATATGGGTCAAAAATGATCTTCCTCTGATAGGGAGGGAATTCTTAGTGACAGAATGGCTTTAAGAAGGATATGACATATTTGCCATACTCTTAAATAACATCACGTTTCTCTCCAACTTTTCTCTTTTTTAGCAGTTTTGTTTTGCACAAGCTTCAGGCTTTTAGCTTGTTCATCAAAAAGAAGTTATGTCTTGTTTTTTCTTGTGTAGGTTAATCTTTTGAGAGACACAGAGTAGATTTGATTGTACTTAAAAGGAATAAAAGGTGTCAGAAAACTTCAGACTTTAAAAAACATAAATGTAGGCGTAGATTGTCTTCTGGCTGTCAATTCACGGTAATTTAACATTGAAATATAAGGAAATTCCATCAAGTTTAAATACATGATTTTTTATAATAAAATCTACAAGGTGAAGTCTTATTTTCTTCCTGTTGAACACTCCTGAATCTCCTCTCTAGGAACTTAAATGTTGGTGTTCCTCAGAGTTTTATTCCAGATCCTCCGCTGATACCATATCCTGCCCCTATGGCCTTGGTAGTGTCTATCTGCTGAGTCTCATGTTAGTTGTCTTTAGTCCAGATCTCTTAAAGGTTTATACCCATATTTCTAGTTGCCTGCCAGACTTCTTTATTTGAATGACCCCTACCACAAGTCAAAATCAACATGCTTGCATCTAACTAACTTTTCCTAGCCCCCAGCCAGTTTTGCCCCTCAGTGACTGATACATTTCACCTCACTGCCCAAACTAGAAACTTGGGCATCGTTCATGACTGCTTTTTTACTTATCACATCCTAGTAGTCAGTAAGTTCTCTAAACTCTGTATCCTAAATATCTGCATTGAAACTCTTTCCAGTACAAGTGACTGCAAAACAGCTAAAGCTAACTTAAAACAGAGACTTTATTGACTCCCGTGTAAGGAGGAGAAGACCTCTGGTAAAGGCGAGAGGGGGATTTTGTCTCAGGAATAACTTAAGAGGCTGAAGCACTAGGTTGACTGTGTCTCCTCTTAGCTTCTCCCTATATGTTGACCTTATTTTACTGTAGTTGGGTTCTATCCTTGCTTAAGACAAAAGTATTTGGGAAACTGATGCAAAACTTTTTGATTTATATAAATTTAAAGTTCAGAAAGGAAAATGTAAAACCTTACTGATGAAAGAAAGACCTATTAAGAAGGGGGAGTATTATAGGCCAGGTACAGTGACTCAGATCTATAATCCTAGCACTCTGGGAGGCTGAGGCAGGAAGATCCCTTGAGCTCAGAAGTTCAAGACCAGCCTGAGTAGGAACGAGATCCTATCTCTCTTAAAAACAGAAAATTATGGCTTAGCGCCTGTGGCTCAAGTGGTTAAGGCACCAGCCATGTACACCCAAGGTGGTGGGTTCAAATCCAGCCCGGGCCCACCAAACAACAATGATGGCTGCAACCAAAAAATAGTTGGGTGTTGTGGCGGACGCCTGTGGTCCCAGCTACTCAGAAGGCTGAGGCAGGAGACTCACTTGAGCCCAGGAGTTGGAAGTTGCTGTGAGCTGTGATGCCATGGCACTCTACCTGGGAGGACAGCTTGAGGCTCTTGTCTCAAAAAAAACACAAAAAACAGAAAAATTAGCCATGCATAGTGGCAAGTACCTGTAGTTCCAGCTACTTGGGAGGCTGAGGTAGGAGGATTGCGCGAATCCAGAAGTTTGAGGTTGCTGTGAGCTACTAGGCTAAGATCGTGGCACTCTAGTCTGGGCAACAGGGTGAGACTCTTATCTCAAAAGAAAAAAGAAGTGGGGAGGGGGATATTACATTGTTACTAATAGAAGATTAGTAAGGATATCACTTCTTTGCATATTGATCAGTATATTCAAAATAGTAAAAAATGCCTGCCTGAATTTTTATAGAATTTGAAAAACTGAATATATATGGAAATATGAAGGGGAAGAATGGTCAAGCAATTGTGAAGAAAAAGAATAAATTTGGAGGACTTAAGCTATGAGATATCAAAACATGCAATTAAGACATTGTGGTACAAGAACAGATCAATGGAAGAAAATAGAGAATCTAGAAACAGACTATACAAAACAGTTGCTTAATTTCTGACAAAGGTGGCAATACAATGGGCAAAGAGTAATGTTTTCAATGAATGATGCTGGATTAATTGGATAGTTGGATATCCATATAGAGAAAAGTTAATCTTGACTCCTACTTTACAGCATTCACAGAAATCACATTTAGATAGATTATGGATCTGAACATGAAAGGTAAAAAACAATAAAGCTATTAAAAGAAAATAATGAATACCCTTGATAAGCAATTCTTAAATAAGACAAAGTACTAACTATAAAAGGGGAAATATGAAAATTGTATTAAGTTATCTTAATCCAAAGACATCATTAAGAGTGTGAGAAAATATTTGCAACATTTATTTCCAGCAAACACTTGTTTTCTAAAGAAAGAACTAGTATACTTTAGCAAGAAAAAGATAATCTAATTTTTTAAATGGCAGAAGACTTAAAAAACTGGGTGTCCAGGTGATTAACAAGCATATGAAGAGGTACTTAACCTCATGAGTGATTGAGAAAATTCAAATTAAACTCACAGTGAGATATGTGTGTACCAAAATAGCTTACCTGAAAAAGAAAAAAAAAGCAGGGTCATGAGGATACAAAGGAATTAAAACTCTCATATACTGCTGCCGGGCATGTAAGTTGGGACAGCCCTTTAGGAAAACTGTTCGGCAGTACCTGTTAAGGTGGAACATTTTCATACCCTCTGACTCATCTTGTTCCTTTCCTAGGCATAAACCCAACAGAAATGCATACATATGTTCACTGGAAGACAAATAACAATGCTATTTTAGCCAAGAAAGTAGAAACTATCCTAATGCTCAACAGCAGGAGAATAGATAAGTCAATAATGTGGTCATTTTATGAAAGGAATACCATACAGCAAGTAGAATGAATAACTTACTACTAAATGCACCAACATAAATAGATATCAGATGTAATGTTGACAACATGAGCCAGACATGAAGGAGTACATTATGTTTTCATTTTAATAACATAGACAAAACTAATCTATGCTGCTAGAAGTCAGGATAATGGTTGAGTCAGGAGTAGGAGATAGTGGCTAGAAAGGGGATCTAGGCATTTCTAGGATATTAGAAATGTCTCATTTCTTGCTCTGGATGCTGTACAAGGGTGTTTTCAATCTGTAATAATTTATCAAGCTATTAGAATTTGTGTGCTTTCATATATGTGTGTATTATACATTAATAAAAAGACAAAATATCCTGTAAACCAATACTCTTACACAAAGTGATTTAATTTCATCAATTGCCACAATTTATGTCTTGACTATCTCATCCCTAGCACCATGGGTTGTATACTGGGACTATTTGTAGGTAACTTTATAACCTGTGATTATCTCCATTTGGCAGAAGAGTCAACCATAAGTAGTTCTGATTTTTGTCTAAGTGAAAACTAAGGACTACCTAATGAATTTTCAAAGGACTTTATTGTTCTGGAGGAGATATAACTAATTTTTGTTTGGGGATTACCACATTACATTTAAAATTTACTTAGACCTATAAAATATATATAGTTTCATACTAACCACTGTAGAGTATTACAACAATAAAATATGCTATACTTTCCCTTCATCTTAGACCTGAATTCTAGTTAAGGAAAAAAGGGATTCAGATTATATTTCATTATTTGGGTTTTATTTATATGCTTATGCAAAGACCCTCAACCCAAATGATAGTAACAGAAATGTGAAACTTTTAGAAATATTGGAGCCATGGGAAAAGAAAAAAATTTAGATCAACTCTACATTTGATTAGTATCATTTTAGTAATATATAACAAAATGTATTATCTTTAATTTACTCTGTTCATAAAATCACCTTGTTTATCATGTTGGTGTGCAAAAAGAAACACCTCTCTGCACATAAAATTCTTTGCTAAGTTAAAACATGGGCTTTGGCACAGTACCTGTGGCACAGTGGTTACAGCGCCAGCCACATACACTGAAGTTGGTGAGTTCAAACTTGGCCTGGGCCAGCTAAACAACAATGATACCTGCAACAACAACAACAAAAATATCCATGCACTGTGGCAGGCGCCTGTGGTCCCAGCTGCTTGGGAGTCTAAGGCAGGAGAATCTCTTAAGCCTAAAAGTTTGAGGTTGCTGTGAGCTGGGATACTACGGCACTCTACCAAGGGTAACAACATGAAACTCTGTCTCAAAAATAAAAAAAAAAATGGGCAGGGCGGCGCCTGTGGCTCAAAGGAGTAGGGCACTGGCCCCATATACTGGAGGTGGCAGGGTCAAACCCTGCCCCAGCCAAAAGCTGCAAAAAAACCCCCCAAAAACGGTGGGGTGCATTAATGATCATCCTATAAGTAAACACCAACACTGAACAGCTTTATGACATGTAGGTAGGTTTCACCTCACTGTTAATTAGTAGGTGATTTTACCATAAAATAACAACTCAGAAGGAATTTAATTATGATTTACTGAAATGTTTTAGAAACAATACCCTCCGTTGACACCATTTTTATGAAAAACTTCTTTAATTCACTTAGGACTCCATGCCTGTTATCTTACATTTTTTCATTTTCATTAAATCTTTTAAATTTAATGCAACATACAAGGAAAGAGAGTATAAAAAGCTCTTTGGGAGTTCTCTTGTTTTTGTTTTCATTTCTAGAGGAGTCGGTATTGTTCATTCTAAATCTACTTTTTAAGGCTTCAACCAAAAGGATGAATCTCTAAATTAGTAATGTTTTGTTAAATGAATGAAGAGGCCATAATAACAGTAGAGAAGCAAAAAAAGAAAGACTTTCTTTTTTATCAAAGTGGCAGTTTCTTTAAGACAGAATGTGCATTGCTCTTGTATTTTATAGTTTTTTCCTGAATGTGCAAGACATTAAAATAATCTAAAGCTATATAATTCAAATGTCTTCCTAGTGCAAAGTTTTTATAAATAAATAGCATAAAAAGTGATATAATAAGCGCATCAAATTTAAATTATTCTAAAAATCTATTAAAATTTTAGAAAAATAGATCTTGGGAAAAAACATTTCTTAAAAAATGTTCTAATTATGTCAGTGGCTGTGATTGATACTTGATGGAGATAAGTATCTAAAGCTTTATTTCTTTCTTCATAGACAACAAATGAAGTTGTTTTGGCTGTGGAGTTCCACCCAACAGACGCAAATACCATAATAACATGTGGTAAATCTCATATTTTTTTCTGGACCTGGAGTGGCAATTCACTAACAAGAAAACAGGGGATTTTTGGGGTAAGGATCAGAATGTTATACCTTTACTAGATATATAAAACTTAAATGTTTTTAATTGTCAAGTAAGCATGAAATCATCAGACCAGAGGGAAAACTGAAAATTCTCATTGTTTCATTGTAGAAATACGAAAAACCAAAATTTGTGCAGTGTTTAGCATTGTTGGGGAATGGAGATGTTCTTACTGGAGACTCAGGTGGAGTCATGCTTATATGGAGCAAAACTACTGTAGAGCCTACCCCTGGGAAAGGACCTAAAGGTACAGTGTTCTCATATTAAACTCATTCCTTGTAATTCTGACATAGTGTTCTTGAAGTTTCATCTCTTATCCAGACCAGGAGAGAGAGCTGCAGTGGAACAATATGAGAGTCACTAACATGGCTTTTGTTTTTAAAATTCTTCACAATGATCTTTCTTAAATGAAATTATTTACCTATTTACTTATTAAGCATATATAACCTACATTTGACTGCACTGAATTTTTCTCTTTAAAAGTTTAGTGTAGGGCAGCCCCTGTGGCTCAAAGGAGTAAGGGTACTGGCCCCATATACCAGAGGTGGCAGGTTCAAACCCGGCCCTGGCCAAAAATTGCAAAAAAAAAAAAAAAAAAAAGTTTAGTGTGAAACAATTAGAGATGATATTAATGTGTGTTTTTTTTTTTTTTAATATGAGTTTGTTTTAACAAGTATAATGGCAGACTTCTGTACTGGGCTAGTTCAATGAAGGCAGAATGTATTGCCATATGATAAAATGGGAAAAAGGAATAAACTCATAAATTCAGTCCTCTTCTTTTCTTTTAAGTTCCTTTTGTATCCAAATATACAGGTCCACTTTGCCCTTTCCTATGGTAAATGAAAAAAATTAGAAGAAGGGTATTAAAAATAACCTTTTTCAACTCTGCTTTTCCTTATTTAAAGAGGACAATCAAACTTTGAAAAAATGTCCTAGTACCATGTACTTTCTTCAAAGTTTGGAGTACTAAAAATAAAAATTGGAGACCTGGTTCTAAAATTAGTGGGCCAGATGCAGAGAGAGCAGTAGAGCTAGCAAGGTAAGTCAGTTTTTGAGATTCCACACCCTCCCCCCCCCAAAAAAAAGGAAAAGAGAAGGAGAGAAAGGAGATGATGATGAGTCAACCTGAAGTTCCTGAAGTTCCTGAGACGTTTCCCCTGGGGACTGGCAGAGCACCATGTCTTTTCTGTGGTTCATCCACCTCCCCCTAAACACACTCAGACAGCTCCTTCCTGTCTAGAGTTTTGTGTGGAAATCACCTTATGTGATTTATGCATCAGGGAGTCTGTTCCCCTGCTCAGAAAGATTTTTATTCTATATTTTTTAGCAGGTAGATACAGATGTTTCTCAACATAGAGTGAGATTATGTCCTGATGAACCCTTAGTAAATCGAAAATATCTTAAATCTAAAGGGCATTAATACCCTACCACATGCATCGTAAATTTGAGAAATTTAAGTCAAACCCTCTTAAGTCCAGATGTTCCTCAACTGTCAATGGATGCAGTTACATTTGTATGAGCCCATCATAAAGTACAGATGCTCCTTGACTTAGGATGGAGTTACGTCCCAATAAAACGATCATAAAGTCAAAAATAAATTGAACCAGCCTAAGATCATCTATTGAATTAGCGGTTTAATTAATATCTTTCAAATCCATTCACCTGAATTTCTAAGCTTGGCAGTTGAATTGAATTAGACATATTCAGAAGTTTTAAAAAAAAGCCTTAGGGGCGGCACCTGTGGCTCAGAGGAGTAGGGTGCTGGCCCCATATGCCAGAGGTGGCAGGTTTAACCTAGCCTGGGCCAAAAACTCCAAAAAAAAAAAAAAAAAAAAAAGCCTTAAATTGTATTGCCATGGACCTTGATCTTAACCATCAGCCATGATTCTTAGCCTTTCTGATTTAGTTTAGTTCAAAATTCACATAGGAGAAGAATAGCAGTGGGTTTTTTAATTTTTAAAAAGAAAATTAGAAGAACAGTATTATTAACAACCTTATTTCTCTGACTCGTTTTTAGTTTTTCTCTTTTTTTTTCTCTCCCGGGCTCATGGTATATTCAGAAATGTCAAAAACAATAGCATATTAAAACATTGACTTATTGTTCACATATCCTTCAATACTGAGCATTATTAACCTTGATATTTGTGTTCAAGTTGGGGATAGGAAGAGGTTCAGAGGTTTTCATTTTAGTTTTTGTCTGAAAAAATTGTGCCTTAGTCTCTATGCAAAGAAAATCTGTATATCCACAAACAGGAAAGAGGAAGTGCAATCTTACAGATTGCTGGGCACATGAATTGGCCTGCGTTGTACTCTACTACATGACTAACCCTATTATGGTCAGAGTTGCTAAGAATTTTCTTTCTTTCTATTTATTTGGGGCTTTCTGTTGGCTAAGAAAGATTCGGTGAATGCAGTGAAGTAAATGTACAAGTTCAGACCAGAACAGATGCCCATACTTTCATTTTCTAATTCTTCCCCTCCAAATTCCAGTAGATCCAGTGTGAGTATTCCTAAGTATGACATTTCTGAACCAGGGGAAATTTTACCAATCAAAATTTAAGGATATATGACATCATGCAGATAAAAGGATATTTTGGAATGGCAGAAGTATAATTTTATAGCTGATTCTTTAGTAACATAGGAAACAAACCAAAAGTATAATTTTTATGCTTCATAAGCTCTCTGTATATATTCTCCTTGCTTCCAAGCCATTTTTTCCTTAAGTATAAATTAATAGGAATCTTTGAGGTAATTAGTATTTTCTATTTAAGTAGGTATAAGGTATTTGTTGTTTATTTCTTACATATATGAAATAGTTAAAAAAAAATTTTAGGGTGGCACCTGTGGCTCAGTGGTTAGGATGCTGGCCTCATATACCAAGGGTGGCGGGTTCAAACCCAGCCCCAGCCAAACTGCAACAAAAAAATAGCCAAGCGTTGTGGCGGGTGCCTGTAGTCCCAGATACTCGGGAGGCTGAGGAAAGAGAATCGCCTAAGCCCAAGAGCTGGAGGTTGCTGTGAGCTGTGAC